GCATCATGCATCGCGCCTTCAGCTTTGTTAATTTCATTTGCAGAAATGACTTTTTGTTGTCTTGTTTTGCATTAGGATGAGTACTAATGAAGTGGATTTTTAAAATTTGTGAAGTGTTTCAGCAATTGTGAATTATCTGCTCGTGTTATTCACGTGTTTCTTAAAACAAGGGTGTTCATGTATCCAACTTTTTACTTCTTGAAGAGACGATTCTGAGAGGATTTTAAGACTTGAAGATGCAGATGGGTTTCTCATTGCAGTCTTATATGGTGTCAGTGGTAGCCCTTCCTTGTTCTTTTAGAGATAACGTAGGGTTTTACCATCATCCACATGCCTGTTTGCCTTTTCACAAGAACCTTTCATTTTGGCACACAAATATCTGTTTCTTTTGTTTTAATGGCCACCTAAGACATTACTATTCAGGTGTACCCTCGTCTGTGTACCCAACGTGATGGGAACTTAGATGGCTTCTGCATGTCTGCCATGATACGCATGTCACGTGAGCGATGCCCTAGACTTGGGGGTCTGTGTCTGTAGGGTAAATGCCTACAAATGAAATTGCTGTGTAAAGCGTGTGGGTGTGAAGTACAAGAAACTGAACCCAGAACCTCAAGAAAGCTAAGCATCATGCTGTAGGATGAAAATGTATCCCAGCCCTATTATTCCACTTTAATGCTTGCTAATTTGGTCAGATAAAGATGGCGTATCATAATTTTGAGTTGTATTCTCATTATCAGTGAGATTAAGCATATTTTCTTATGTTTAAAACCTGTTTGTTGGGCCTGGAAGATATCTCAGCGGCTTACGCACCTGCCTGGCAAGCAAAAGGACCTGAGTTCAATCCTTGGTACCAAAAAAAAAAAAGAATAAAACCCATTTGTATTATTTTCTTTAAATTATCCACCTACATTTCATGCTCATCTTTTGCACTGAGCCAATAGGGTATAGTTTATTGTTATTTTGAAGAAGTTCCTTAAAAAGTCAAGTGGACCTTTTTGATACGAATTTCCCAGTGAGTTTCTGATCAGTTCCTTCAGCTTAATGCGTGTGAGTCTGGGGCAAGACATCTCCTCTCCTCTGGCTCGGGGAGTGGTCCGCTGGGGACTGCTCTACTCACTGGTCCTCGGAGGTGGCTGTGTTAGCTTGGGGTTGCTCAATTTTACCTCCTAATTTACCTAAAAACCAACATATAAAAACCGACATAATTTCTGCTTGTAAACTTATTTTTTTTCTTTAAACCTCATAGCTTTTTATGAAGAGAGAAAAATATAAGACATTATATACTTAGGTACAAAGCAGTCCTGTTGTGAACACATCCTTAATGCTACCTTTTAGTAAATAATAGCACTGGTCCAATTTATTATGAAAGTGTGTCGTTTCCTCCCTTGGCCATCTTTCGTTATGAAGGGCCCAGTAGCTCTGCTTGAGCCATTCTGAATGACTGAGATTTACAAGCTATGATTGAGAAATCATGAAGAATGTTTACATTTTTAAAAGTTTATTACAAACTGGGCACAGTGGCACATGCCTGTAATCCCAGCATTCAGAAGGTTGAGGCAGGAGAATCACTGTGACTTTGAAGCCAGCTTGGGCTACAAAGTAAGTTCAAGGCCAACCTGAGCTTCATAGTGAAAATGTGTGAAAAAGACAAATAAATAGTTTATTACAATAAAAGGCACATTGCCGTTAATCTCTTTGCTGCTTTGATGTCTTGAATCAATTCAAGATGTTTACCTTTCATGCTCATTTTGACTTTGGGGAAGAGCCGACATCCCACAGTGCCAGATGCAGGGGAGAGGGTGGCTAGCAGCACGCGGTAAGGTCTGTAGGGCGCTGCCTCTGCTGGGCTAGCACCCAGCAGAATGTCCGCTGACAGCTTCTTAATCACATCCCATAATGTCTCAGGAAAGAGGACTCCCTGAACTGTTTCAGAACGTGGCAAGAGTGATGGAATATTTTGAGGGGGATTAATGACAATGTTTTTTTTTTCCTAAATGTTTTTAGTACAGGGCCTACAGGGTTCACTACACAGATTAGACATGTAGTGATCCCTGTTTTCAGCCTCCCAAGCTCTGGGATTACAGGCACATGCCACCATACCCAGTCTCAGTTGCCGCCTCAGTGCACCTCTGTGGTGGGGCTGGCACAGCACACCGGG